ATGTGTGTGTGTGTGTGTTGCAATTGTGCTGATAAATAAATAAGATTCGATTCCCAGTAGGGGAATGGCTAGCTGATGAGAGCTAAATAGCTTGAAATAGATCTATACTAGTCTCCCTTTATTTATTTATCAGCACAATTGCAACACACACACACACATTATACACATACATACACACACACATATATATTAAAGATATAAGTAAAAAAAATAAAAAATATCTACTCATCTATCTTAGAAGGTACCTGCGGTATGTTGCAACCCACAAATTACATGGTTCTTCAGAGCATGTGCAGAGAGTTCAAATTTGGTTGAAATGCAACCTAATCAAGAATTGTAAAAGTGGGGAGGACAAGCTGTTTTGGCCATTAAACAGTCATGAGGCATTGTTTTAAATATTAAGAGTAAACTCATCTCTTATTCATTTGCCAATTTTTCACACGACTTACTTTGATGTGTTTGTTGGGATGAAGCTGAAGGTTTTTGGTGTTTTTTTTTGTGAGGCAGGTTGACGGTTGCCAATTTCTCGTTTGGTTCCTTTTGCTAACTGTTTATGGCAATGAAATAAGAGGCAAAATGGAAGAGGGGAAATCAGAAAAGACACGAGGGCAGTCGGCAATGGATCGATGCTCCCGAGAGCATTCGTTTATTAAGAAACATAAGTTCTGTCCTGGGAAAGCAAGAGAGATGGTTCCTTCCACAACCCTTGTCTGCTTATGTGCTCCAGGTATAACCGAAGAAGATATCTCGCTGAACTTCTGGTGGCTGGAGGAAGTACAGCTCATCGGATCTGGGGGACACCCAGCGTGTGGTATGGTAGACACTCTGCCCAACCTGGGAGAACAGAGAGGGAACAGGTCAGACAATACTCATGTAGGAAAACTAGGTTGGTCCAGGGCAGGGGTTCGCAACCTTAAACACTCAAAGAGCCATTTGGACCTGTTTCCCACAAAAAAGAAAACACCAGGAGCCACAAAACGCTTCGCATGCCTGACTATTTCCTGAGCGGCCACAAAACTAGTTATACTAGTAAACATTCTCTGTTTTCTTCTGAAACTTTCCTTTTCTTGGATTTATCCATGGTTGGCCTACCAGGTTGAAAAGCTCAATAAATCACCTGCCAGTGGGTGTTGCTCATTGGCAGTTGTGATGCATATTTTGAGCCACAGGGAGCCGCAGGAGAGGGATGAAAGAGCCACATGTGGCTCCAGAGCTGTGGGTTGCTGACCCCTGGTCCAATGGTTAAGGCGTTAGCTTAGGAATAGGAGATGGTGAATTCTAGTCCTGCCTTAGACTTGCCTCCAGAAGTTGTGAATGCCCCAACACTGGAAGTCTTTAAGAAGCTGTTGGATAGCCATTTGTTTGGAATGGTATAGGGGTTCCTGCCTAGGCAGGGGGTTGGACTAGAAGACCTCCAAGGTCCCTTCCAACTCTGCTATTGTATTGTATTGGATGATTTTGAGGCAATCACCAGAAGAAGTTAAGTTCTAGGCCTGCCTTAGGCATGAAAACTGTTTAGGTGATCTTGGGCAATCACCCGGAGGCTGTGAGTTGCAGTCTTGCTTGCTTTTGGCACGAAAGACGGTTGGTTGACATTGTGCCAGTCCTTCTGTCTCAGCCCAAACCCACCTCACAGCATTGTGGTTGTGAGGAAATTGGGAGAAGGAAAGAGGTATGCTGGCCTTCTTGGGTTATTTATAAATAATAATAAAGGCAGGATAAAAATCAAACAAATGATCGTAATATAGGCAAATAAAGCTGCAGCAAACGTGAGGACCACACCCACAGTTTCATCACTGTCTCTGCTCCTGTTTTGGAACACTAGCTTGCAAATCTAACGAAATGAAACTCGACGGTGAAAAAAAGTAAGGTTCTACATTTAGACAAGAAAAACAAAATGCACAGGTACAGTATAGGTGGTACCTTGCTCAATAACAGTAACTGTGAGAGGGATCTTGGAGTCCTAGTGGACAACCATTTAAATAGGAGCCAGCAGTGTGAAGCA